GACTTTATATTTATTGTAGATTGTTTAATAGGGGTAGATATGAAAAGATAAGATTAGTTTGAAAGTAGGTAATTACTTTATTGGAGGTGAGATTTAGTTAAAAATATCTTATATTTTTTAACAGAGGGAGTATCATTTATTATCCTTGCCGCAGGTATTTCAATAACACTATCTTTTTTTTTTTACAATTTATTATTTTTGTGCATACTAAAGGTATAAATATCTTATGCTTTTGAACTTGTTTTCTATAAAAAAATTTAAAAAGTAATCTGAAAATTATACAAATAAAAAATATATTAATATGATATCATAAAAATGAAAAATAAGAATATGCTTTGATTATGAAATGCAAAAGTTATGAAAAATTATGATATAGAAACAAATATGAGCATGACACAAAAGTATTGAAAAAAAAAACAATTGAAACAAAATCATTACACTGTTGATTTTACTGTTATGTGAACAGTGAAAATCATTATATTTTACTATATATAAGATAAGATAAGATAAAATTATAAATCCAACATATTTAATTGTATTAAAGTAAAAATAAGAAATATAAAAATAATAAAATCAACAACACTGCATTCACGTTTATATTTTCCATAAAGAAGTTAAATAATTTTGATTTGATTGGATCAGGCGAAAACGTGGTGGAAAGGGTTAACCTTTGAAGTCGTCTTGAATTAGGGAAAACAATAAATTCATTTTTTAAAGGGGGCGTGACATAGTTAGGTTTCAAAGAAATAAATTAATGATAATTAGATTTTTGATAAAAATTTTTATAAAATAAATTATAAATATTAATTTAAAAAGTTATAAATAAAATTTTTTGTTACAATCTGAAATTTATATTTGATATTTAAATAATTATTTATAATTAAAATTTTTAAATTTAAAATAATTTAGATCAATATTTTTAATTTATTTTTTTAAAAAAATTATTGGGAATTTAATTGATATTAATTCAATGTTTTAAGACCAAATAGACATTTTTTTCTTTTTTAAATTTGAGAGGCTGAAACTTCGATAGTACGTTGGGCTTAATGGGACTTTGGCTTTGGATTTGTATATGGTTTTGGATTTTGTCCTAATTTTTTATTTGGACATAAAAAAATTTATAAAATCAGATTTGATTCAAATTTAAATCCATTTCATATTACAATTTATTTGTAATTTCAAGTGACTATGTATTTTCAAATTTTTGCTACTCCCTACTCATTTGAAATTTTAGTAAGTCATTATTGACATCTCTATATCTCACATATCTTTTCTCATATCTAATTCTAATCACTTGTTGATTAAAAAATAAATATAAACTCATTATTCTTACTTTTTCATTTTCGATTTAAATCTCAACTTATTTATCTTTCTTCTTTTGAAATTTTTTAACCTACACAAACAAATAATTTTAAATATATAAATTTTAAATGTGAGATTTGAAATTTAAGATTTCAAATATAAAATTCAATTCAAATTCATCATTCCAAATGCGACTTGCATTTTCTTCCATCAAGACCAAAGTTCTACACCATGGTTGAAGAGCATTTGACGATCGAGTAATTATGTCTTCTATTTTTTCAGTCTCCCGCCTGCTCCCATTCTCCTTTTCCCATGTTCTTCATTTTCCTTTTGTGTGCTTCCTCCCTCCCTCTTACTTGCCCCCTCTTTTTACTTCATTTTCTCTTGATATTTCTTCAAATCGAGGAACTTGAACAACCTTTCAAATTAATTGATTTTGACCAGGTTAACTCCAGAACACCCAATTTAGTTTGATATACTATTTTACCGGTTTAATCATATTGCGGGACTGGGCACATGGCTGATTCACCAGTTTGCCAATCAAACTAGCCATTCCAGTCCAATTTTACACTCATTGTTTAGAAGTTTTTAAGAACTTACTTTTTGAGAGTTTGGTATAGGATTAGATAATGATATTTCTTATGGGAAATTTTTCACTACTCATGCTTGGATTTTTAAAAGTGGAAGTTTGAAAGTTGATTTGTATGCTAGAAAGATAGGGAATCACAAATTTTTTCTAATAAAGCAGATTTTGGCATTGCTATATACGGATAGTGATTCAATAACACATCGCTTGAACATACCTTCTGGGAACCACTAATGAGCTCCTGTACGTGGGAATTAAGTTTGATGAAGAATTTCAAGGTTTGTGCTTCATTGGCACAATACCTGACTCTAGGGAGATTTTGAGAATATCTTTAATTAATGTTGCATTTCAGAAATAATGACTATGGATATTGCTAATTGTTGTGTTTTGATTGAGGAAATGAGGAAATAAAAAATACGTACAGGGTTTTTTTTCCAATAAAAAATATAATTACGGAATGTAGGGGAGAAGCAAAATTTTGGGTTACCAAAAATATAGATAAAAGCAAGAGAAAATAAAAGAATTAAAGGTGTAAGAATCCTGAGTGCCATCATCATGGAAAGAAAGGGCAAATCGCTCTTTTCATCAAGGTCCTTTACATATTCCTTTTTCATTCAACAACCTTTTTCATTCTCTCACTGTATTCAAATATAAATAAATTTTAATCAACTCACACAATTAAAGAAAGTTAGTTAAATAATCTTAGTAATTTTGTGCCTGAAATTGAAACTTTTGGACAAAAATTATCTTGTGATTAATCCTTTATTTGCTTATCTAACTTAATAATACTGTCATTTAATGAAGGGCAATTTAGAAAACAGTATCATAGACATTTCTTAAAAATTGATGTTTGGCTTATGAAAAAAAAAAAATTAAGGGTTAAGGTGCAATTTTGTCCTTAAAATACTCTCGAAGGGACAATGTTGCCCCATTGCCCCTAAACTATTTATTGTAGTAATGTTGCCCTTAAACAATTCCCAGAGGAACAATGTTGTCCTCACTTTATAAAAATCATAAAATTAAATAAAAATAAAATTATAATAATATTAAATAAAATAATATTAAATGTATATATAAAATAAATATAAGAAAAAATATAAACTATATTTTTATAGAATAAAAATAATAGTAAATGTATATATAAAATAAATATAAGGAAAAAATATAAACTATAATTTTGTAACTTATTAAATATAAATGGATTTTGGTTAAATCATATATGAGTAGATTCAAAAGTGTTTGTATTTGCACCAATAGTTATCGACATCTTTATAAAAAAATGGTCGTAAATCATATTTTATATATGTGAATTGTTTAAAAATAAAGTTGGCTTCTAGTATGATCTAATTTTTAAATTTTTATTTTTTAAACTTTTAAGCTTTTCTTAATATTATGTTTAAAACTATCCACTTATTCAAAAATAAAGTTTTGCTTGTATTAAATAATGAGAGGAACATTTCTTTATAGGGTAAAATTTAGATACTTAACCTTATGTACTTAATATATTTATTTAATTAAATCAAGACATGTGAACTTTGATGTATTAATAATACTAATAATAAAAGTTTGTCATAGAATAGATAATAAATAAAAGATGCACATGTCGTATTTTAATTAAAAAAAAAAGCACCTTAAATCAAAGGCTAAATATAAAAGTTTTTCCTTTCTATATATACAATGATTTGGTAATGGTGGGCGCTTCACCAGTGAAGTCAAGTCCCATGTTGAATGACTTAAATGAAGGGAAGTGTCATAGATCCCACTTTTGTCTTGGCTTGTGCTTCAAGCCTTCAACCCCCAACACACAAACCCCACAATTATTATATATAATTGACAGTAGGTAATTGAAGAAAGTGAGAGGAAGCATGATCATTCTCGAGTTAGTGGAACACAAAATAGGTCATTCTCAATTTAAATCCCAAATATTTCTTTAGGTTGTGTACTTTTTTTTAAGCAAAAATTTAGGTCGTGTATTTTGGTGACAAGATATTAGGTTGTGTACTTTGATGACAAGATCATGGGACTCTCGGTATTACAAACGATAGATTGGACTAGAATTTTCCTTCTTATTCTTTGTTTCTTATTTTAAAAGTTATATATAAATATATGAAAAATGGATAATTTTTATTAAATCTCATTCAATTTTTAAATTAAATTTATAAAATGATGATATTATACCTATCTAATCTAAGGCTATGATGCATTCAAACTTGTATTAGTGCCTTCATTCTTCTTTTTTAACTTTTCTTGAATTATTCTTCTTTTTTTATTCTTTCATCTTAAGTGCAGCATGTTAATGATGGTTTTAGTTACTTTTTCTTTATGATCACTCTTATTTTCACTTTGAATGACATATCATTGAATGATATATCATGAACAAGGTGACTATTTCAAGTATTCATATGCATTAATAAATATAAATAAAAGTTAGTATGTCATATATACGAAAAGTCTTATATTTAGGAAATATTCAAGTTATGAAAATAACATTTTGAGCACTCTTGGATATACAACCATTTTGAGATAAGAAAAAAACATATTAGTATAAAATAACTTTTATGTACAAAAATCATTTGTTCAAATCTCATATAATATGAAACAATATAAGTAAAAAATACTTTAAAGCACATTATAGTTATAGTTAACTATTATATTTATGAAAATAATTAAGCATAAGTATAATTAACTTCTCTAATATTTATCATCATCAAAACTTATATTAAATATGTTATAAATTTATTTTTATGCATTTTCATGAGCTTTGGTTAATTATGGATGTGTTATTAATATCCAATCAATCTATAATAAATATTTGAACATGACTTGTTAAAAAATAAAAAAATTGTTAATTTTTTAAAAACCAACTTGTTCAATTTTATACAACTTGGTCCTTTAACAAGTTATTAATATTATACTAAATAAATAATAAATTTTATAAATTTATTTTTTCAAATAATGTCACATTGATGGTGGTATACTAAAATTTTCCCTTGTTTTTATATATTATCCTCCTCTTACTTCTTCGGTAGCATGTTGCTGACTCTGCCCCAAATCCACTCACATGAATGATCAAAAGATTTTGGGACCCAAAGCGGGGTCTCATTTCTCTGAACAAAATTGCACTGCCGGGACTTCTTCCTCTATATAATTCCTCTTGTTTTCTCCTTATCATCATCGACACCTTTAGTTTAGCTTCAGAAGGAAGCTCCTCCAACAATGACGAAGTTTTTACTCCTACCCATCATTGCTTTTCTCACAGTGAGCTTCGACTTCCTTTCTTGTTTTCACTTTTTTATTTTTTTTATTTTTCGCAACGAAACCAATTATGTGAATGAGTATTTAATTTATGTTTTATATATGAAATTGCAGGTAGCGCTGGAGGCTACACATGAAGCCTTACTACCTCCTGAACTTTATTGGAAGTCCATGCTTCCCACTACTCCCATGCCTAAATCCATCACTGATCTCCTCCATCCAACTGGTTAGTATTATAAAGTTTGTAGCTTCCTTATTTATACAAATTTCAAAACTCTCATGACAAACAAATATGCTTCTTTTAAGTACTGATTTCATGTTGGATAAAACTTAGGTAATTAAGTTAATATATTAAATATACTTTTATCCAATTAAATCAAGACAAGTAGATTTTAATATATTAATAATATTTATTATAAAATAAATAATCTATAAAAAGATTTACATGTCTAGATTTAATTAGAAACAAGCCCCTTAAACATATAAAATTAAGTATATAAATTTTTCCATATCACTTGTAGATATTGGTAACTTAGGTGGCAGCACCATCACCCACAGTGGGATCTAGAACACCAGACTTGACTGACTGGTTGAACTGGCAAATTGGCAAGGTAATCAGCCTGAAAATCTTTGAACCGGGACGAACCTGAGAACTCGGTGTTTAAATGGTCCAAGCCGATGAACTCAGTGGGTTAATCGGGTCTACCAAGCTAATGTAAAAAGCAAGGGAGGATCTAGAAATTAAACAAGAAGAAAGGAAATGAGTGTAGAATGAAAAGAATATAGAAGCTACAAGATGAGCATGCTTTTGAACCTTTTTCTCGCTCGTTCCATTTAAATGATGATCAGTTATTCTTCATCGCAATTATCTTCCCTTCTTCTAAATTACTTAGGTGGGCCAACTTGGGTCAAAATTTGCATTTTAGCCCAAACAATTACTATTTTTACTTTAATATCATGACCATGTAAATTTAGTGTTTATATTACATTTTATATTCTTATTTTATCTCAAATAATTAATACAAAATTAAAAATATAGTAAATTCATCATTTCTCCTTTGACTTGCTTGGACAAACTATTAATCTTGGAAATAATATCTTAGCATGACCGGTAAAGATTTTAATACCTATCTGGGTAATAAATATTGGCAACTCAGGTGGCACCACCATTGTCCGAGGCGGGATCAATGTCACACTTGAAAGTGGAAGGCCCTTACGTAATTACGTTAAAAAATATGGCTGTACTAATTATGATACTACGCACGAGACCATACAACATGATATTCCCAATGCAATTGGAAATTTCTTCTTTTTGGAAAAGGACTTGAAGCCTGGTCACAAAATGAACATGCCCTTCTTGTTCCAAACCTCCAACCAAAACTCCTCCTTCCTGCCTCGTGAAGTTGTGAAATCCATTCCCTTTTCTTCAAGCAAGGTATAGTTTCTGAATTCATTCAACCATGTCTGCAACTGCAATTACAAACCATGGATAATATAACCAAATCATATATATTATGTAATTTAATTTACACATTAATTGTGATTCTTTAATTTACTGACAGATAGCCGTCATATTGAACAAGTTTGCGGTGAAAGCTGGGTCACCATATGCTGAGGTTTTGAAGAATACAATTAAAGAGTGTGAGAGGTCAGAGATGAAAGGAGAGGAGAAGTACTGTGCAACTTCATTAGAATCCATGGTCGATTTTAGTACTTTCAAGCTCGGGAAAAGCGTGAACGCTCTGTCTATGGAGGTGATGAATGCTCCAACAATGGAGGAGGAAGAATACACAATAACACAGGGAGTGAAGAAGGTGGGAGAGGACAAAGTGGTGGTCTGCCACAAGCTTGATTATGTGTATGCTGTGTTTTACTGTCATAAGATAGAGAACACGGATGCCTATATGGTGCCGCTGGAGGGAGCTTATGGGAGCCGAATGAAAGCTGCGGGTGTCTGTCACAGAGATACGTCGCAATGGAGCCCAAAACATGTAGCTTTTCAAGTGTTAAAAGTGAAGCCAGGGAGTGTTCCTGTGTGTCACTTTCTTTTCCCAGATGCTCTTGTGTGGGTACCCAGACAAAACTAGGAAAAATTAACCACGAGGATCAAAAGGTCCAAATATTTGGGCATAAGTCTCAAGTGCAGAAATAAAGTTTGCAGAGGACCATGATCCATGAGCGACAATATGTTTTTAGATATAATAACAAAATATCCTTCCTTTTCTGCACTGATTGGTTGAGGTCATTCATGAATCGTCAATAATCCAAACCATGGACACAAGTGCAGAAAAAGGAAAGGTATTCTGATATTTTTGCTGAAAAACATATTATCTTTCAAGGATCGTGATTTCTTAAACACTTTATTTCTAGATTTGGGATTTATGCTCAAATATTTAAGCTTCTTGGTTCTTATGGCCAATTTTCCCCCGAATTTTAGTACTGCTGTGCCTTGTTACATACACATAAATAAAAGCAAGGTTATTTCCCTCGTATGGGATACCAAACAATGTTGTCGTGTGGTCTCTTCTTTCCTTCCCAGCATCTTCCCATTCTCTTTCTAATTTTTAACTCAAGATTTAGATCACTCAGAGCCCTAGATCAATAAACATATGCACCTGGGACTAGGCGAGTATTTTAAGGTTAGGATCGTGCCGGTTACACCGTCAACTGCTTAGAGAAAAACTGGCTATGTTTTAGTATTAGCCCTTTTTTTGGGCCCCCCGCCCGCCCCCCCCCCCCCGGAAAAAAAAAAAAAAGCATTAGCCCGTTTCAATGGTTAGATTGTGTTAAGCCAGTTGGCAACGGATTTTAAACTAGCAATTAGAGTAAAGCTGGGAACTGAAATCGGCATGGGAGAGATAAATGAAAATGAGTCTTTGTTTTTATAGGCTAAACATTAAAATAAAAAGAGATGAAAAACGTGAAGAAGAAAAAAACAATGGTTTTTTTTTTTAATTTTAGAAAAAAGCTATTTTACAACACGAATAAAATCAAGGAATATGTAAAAGATTTGAGGAAAATAGCAGAAAAGCAGAACAATACATGGTATGGAAAATGGGACTGGCAAACCAGTAAACAGGCCAAGTGACCAGTTTGGAAATATAGTTAGACCGGAAAAAAGTTGAATCAGGATAAACCTGTGATGTAATAATTACATAAAAATAATATTAATTGCATATAATATATATATATATATAAAATAAATTTTTGGTATGTTTAATTGTTAATAAAATAACACATAGACTATAAATTAACAATATTAAAAATTAAAATTTTATAACTTGTCAAATACAGGTAAATCTTAATTATAAATAGGCTCAAAAGTATCGGTATTTGCAATTATAATGGTCAACATCTTCAAAAAAAATATTTTAAATCATATTATATATAATCAAAAAGAAAGTCAATTTTTGAATATTTATGTTTTTTTAATTTTAAGCATTCTTTTATATATTTTTAGACCAATCTAGTTTTCTAAAAAATTCCGGCTTAATTTTTGGTTTAACTGATTTCCAACACAATAGCAACTTAATTGAGGTTTAACTTGGCTTTATAATGTTTTGGTTTAGATTGAGCCATTAACAATTTTAGTTAATAATCTAACCATTCAATCCAGTTCTTAAAACGATGATCATAAGTTTAATCCTACTTATAATTTCACTTGTCGCCTCCCTTTCTAAATCAAAATGAAAACCAGAAACGTGAAGCTAAATTGAAGAAAGAAGGAAAAAGCAAAAAAGATAAGAAGCACGTGACGCTGACTCTTTCGGATAGAATAGGATAGATAGCCAAAATTGTAGGCAAAAGAAAAAGGGAGAGTTACACCAAATTTTACATCAGAGAATTAATTAATATAAAATTTATTAATAACTAAACTAAAATTATTACAGTAATTAATTTTTTTACGAGATTTCAATGTAATTTTCCCAAAGAAAAAATATTTTAAATATTTTAATCTTTTCAAACATTATTTTAGTTTTGTAACCTTTATTTTAGGTTGATTACTATTGTGTCACTTTAATATTATTACCATATAAAGTTATTTTCATATTATACTTTTTGTCCTTATTTTTCATCTCAAATAATTAATATGTAACCAAAAATATAACAATTTAATTACACAGGTTGGTTTGATCTTGATTTAACTACAATCAGATTATTAACCCTCATATCAATACCTCAGCTAGTTCAATTATCAGTTTAATTTTTAATACCTTAGCAATTATATGAGCAAAATAAAATCATAATTAATTTTTTCTACCAATAAAAAATGGGGACAATAATGGCGTACATCGTTCAGGCATCTAGTGCTTGTACTTTCATCATTGTTTTTTATAGGAAAATTAATCTTTTAATTTCTGTAGTTGCGACTTGTCTAACATTCACTCTTTTAACTTGCTCAAAACTCAACCATAATCTTCCCACAGTATAAAAAATTGGGAATTAATCACATACAAGGTCCAATAAATTCTGAAACACTTTTATAGGCCCAAGGGTCACAATTACAGTTAATTTTCAGTCCAATTACTAAAATACCTTTGGTTTATATTAAAAAAAATTCCCATCTTCGTTGGAGCTCCACCACCGGTAGACTAACCACTACCCTACCAGAGGCTAGATCTTTGTCGTCAAAGCTCCAGTGTTGGCGATTGGTCAACAGCTGGTCAATTCAAGAAATAGATTATGGGATGGTTTGATCCCTTAACCCTTAGGGTGTTCAAAAAAATGTCGCCACCAAACCACCATATACATTTAATTATAAATTCCAATATATATATATATATATTATAAGTTGTTTTCAAGCATTTATACAATATGCTGTTAGTCGTTGTTGTTCATATTCAAATAGTTACTTGTAAATATTAAAACATGACTTGTTTATATATATAAAAAGTGTAAATTTTTAAAACATAGCTTCTTCATTTTGTTTTTTAACTTGTTCCTTCAATATTGATATATTACCAATATTATGCTAAATAAAAAAATATATGTTGTAAATTTATTTTTCAATCAATTTCATGAGCTATGATTAATCATGAACATATTATTATTTATAATTGAATTGTAATAACCCTTAAAAAATATAACAAAATAATAATAGTAATAAAAATAAATAATAAGATGATAAAACAAAACAAATAATGATAATAATAATAAATAATAAAATTAAAAAAATAATTAATAATGACATATTTTGATTGTATTTTTATAAATTTTGAGGTAGTCATAGTAAAGTGAATGAATAACTTAGTGAAAATTATTCTGAGTTTTTACTTGTTGCTTCAGAGTTCAAATCTTTGTGGAGCACAAGATGATGATGATGATTGTTATTATTATTTTTGGCTTTTGCTTCAGCCTGTGAAATTATTGCAATGTCTTTGTTGAAATATATATATATATATATAGAGAGAGAGAGAGAGAGAGAGAATAAGGTTGGGGGAGCATATCAAATGAGGACCAGATATTTTTTTCCCCTCATCCTCTTCGATTCTATTCTAGAGAAAATAGAGGAGAGCTCCGTATACCAGCCATCAATGGAAGCTTGGGTCAGGAGTTTTCATTCTTCTCCCATGGCAATTGCCGGCGTCGACTGGCATCTCTGTCTGTGGGTTGAATTTGTTCAAATCTTCTTCTTCCTTTAGCCTCATTTCTCTCATTCCGCTGTTGGTGACTGGAGGAAAATGCCAAAATCCTCCTCCTTCAACGGTGCTGTTGTGTTCGTGCATTGGGATTCTTCCTCCCCTGTTTTCACGGTGAACTTCTCCTCTCCTTCGTTTGATCGAGCTGCTGTGACAGAATGAGCATCAGGTTTTTCCTCTTCTCCTCCAGTCCTGATGAATAATCTCTTTTTCTTGTTTGTGTTTTAGCTTTGAATTCGGACATTCCTCACCTTTTGTCTTTCTGTCTTGCTGTTTTTATTGAGATGAGAAATCATGATTTTTTGATGTTCCTTACAAAAAAAAAATCTGTGCGTGTAATATGAGATGTGATAGAGTTGAAGTTTGGAATTTTTTATCTTGAATTTTTGCTGTTGTTCGTATCTGTTAAAAAAAACAAGGAGAAGAAGGTGGGGGGAGAGAGAGAGAGGAACTTAAGCTAGAAATTTATGTGCTGAAAACATAATTATGATAAGTTAGAATTTTGAGTTAAATTATCTTTGTTTGGAATGGTTGATGTTGAAAAATTGGTTAGGATGGAATTTGGATAGAAGAACTTGGACATGAAATTTGTAGAATGGTGTCTATAAGATGTTTGATAAAATGCTTGGAAGATGGAGTTGCTTGATTGTGCATTTTCTAAAATTTCCTTAAATTCTTTGAGAGACTGAATGGCTTGGATGCTATTATCTTGTGAATTGAGTTTGATATTATATAAAAATTTGATCATAAAGATAACGCAGCTATGCTTATTAAGAAATTGTTAGGCAAAATATGTGAATGTTAAAAAGCTTCACGAAGGGATTTGGGATTAATGTACATTTAGTGTTTTGATAAAAAAAAAATTAGGTAATTTATAAATATGGAAGGCACTTATTTTCTATAATAGAAGATTTGAAATTAGAGATTTTTGGAAAAGATATTTTGTTGGTGATTCAAGGTCAAATTGTTGTTTATATATATTCATCTTTGAAATATTTGTGGAGTGTTTGATGTGATGATTGAGAAAGTTTGAAGTTGAGACTTTTATCTTTTATTTTTAATCATTTTTGGACTAAATATTTTAAATGATAAGGCATATAAAAAAATGACAATGATATTAATTGGACATTAGGAACTTAGAGATAAAGCATTGACGCAAGAGTGCCAACTTGGAGTAAACTTTACATTTGAGAACATGTCAGGTAAGTGGATTGCGTCTCAACTAATTTTTCTAATCAAAATTTTCTTTACTAAAATATTACATTTTTCTACAAATCATTTTAATAGAAATAATGTAATTATTGGATATTTGTTGATTACAATTACTTTATTTTGAGAAATTATCTTTACCAGATTTGAAATGTTATTTGATCAATTAAAACAAGTTTGGACTTTGATTATGAAGTTTTCTTTATTTTTTTATTCTATCAAATATTAGATTGATATAGAAAATGATTCATGCGAGTTTGACATTGAAAATGAAAATTTTATTTAATAATAATTATTTTCTTGCATGTTTGCAAATAGATTTGGAGGGGATTTTATGCAAAACATTGGTTGCTAATGGCAGTTCCATTAGCCCTTGGCGTGCCATGATCAATGACTAGCTAGTTTGATTTTCGTGAGCTTTATTCTCATGTTTGTTATTCGTGGGTCTCGTACTCACATTTGTTTCGTGGCCTTGAGCTGTGTTTGGTTAGCCATACCCCCGTGGATTGTATATCCACGTTTATTTTGTGGCCTTGAGCTACATTTGGTTAGCCTTACCCCTATGGACTATGTGTCCACATTTGTTTCGCGGCCTTGAGTTGCGTTTGGTTAGCCTTACCCTTATGGACTGTGTGTCCACATTTGTTTCATGGCCTTGA